AGGCGCAGTCCCCGAGTTTCCGTCAACAGGTTGCTTGCCGTCTCCTTCGAAAGGCTGGGTGCGGGGTAGCACACACCATACTACGACAACACTACATGTCGAATCCAAACATCGTCTATTCCCACTCGCCGCTAACGTACACAAGCCAGCGATGCATAGCTCGTCACCAATCAATTCCACGAAATCGAAATGTACCCACATCATGAAGATTTCACAACGAGACACAGTTATAACATCAGTCGAATCATTGCAGGATCAGTGCATGTTAGAACAGCCTACGCTGCACAAATGTAAGAGAATAACTCTGACCAAACCACGCTGAAATTCGTTACCGTAGCAACGATAGATCGTAAAAAGTGGAGTTGGTCCAACTCGGGAGGCGGAGAATGAAGACAAATGGGAATCACGTAAAAAGGTAAAATCGAGTTGTGTTTGTCTTGTGTCGGAATAGAATTTATCGAAGACAACACCACTCACGGGCGAAATGACAATTAAGTTTGAACCCAGTGACTCATTTGACGAATTTAAACAGCAAACCAGACATGCTCAGCGTCGCGAGCTTCCATTTAATTATATGGAATTCCTACAACATCAGCTGTAAGGTACCACTCCCATCAAACTTAATACTAACATATCATCATCATCATTGATAGCATGACATTAGTGTTCAACATAGATGCTTCGCCGTCATGAAACTTATTGAGAAAAAATAAAGAAGGACGGGCAAGGGACTTGGTGCTAGCTTACTAGGATCACTCTGAGATGTATACACCTCCAGAAACTCATTCGGGTAACCCGGACAGTAACTGACAAGAATAACGCCACTGACATCGACCAACAGCCATACCTTGCATCGTCTCCAACCAGCCGCAGTGGGGATCACGCGGTCCCCATCCTGGAAGGCGAGGCGCACTCACAGCGCCGAAACATTTCGTAATCTCTTTCACAACCCTCTGCCAGCCCAAGGGTTGGCCACCCGTCTGAATTAATTAGGGAAAACGATGACCAGCCGTGTGCAATACACGGTATAACCAACGCAGCTTCTGCTGCCGGACACATTATTTAATGCAAATCCCCGTTCCATAACCGCAGTCTTGCTTTCTAGCTGCCCCGTCACAGATTTGCCGACACCAACCCACACGAGCTATGGTTCTGAGACAACGAATGTCCAACACCTGAAGACGTCTCTGTTCCGCAGCTCGAACAGGACAAGTTTCACAATCATACAACAAAACAGCATGATACACACGTCCCTTGAGATTCAGGGATGTGCCAGAGGTGTCTCAAATTAGCAAACGCAACCCGAGCTTTCGATATTCATGTATTCACCTCATTTGTCACACCGCAATCGGAACTAAAACAACTTACAACAGCGTAATGTAAGCAGCCGGTATTTCACTGGCTGGGTAGTATGAAGACGACAGAAGTTCCTTTCATTCTAGTAAAACTGGTGACCGTTCAGGTTTTATATATCGTAAGACACTATACAACAAGGTCAGTCATTTTTAAAAAAGTGAACCTATCAGGTCCTCATATCTGGAGACAGGGAAGACAAAAGAAGCAAGATTGCACTGATCAACCTGAAGGAAAGTCTGTGGTTCGAACCTAGCCCTGACTTTCAATTACTTATATACGGGGCTTCGGTAAGATCCTGGTATCTCAGTCCTGCTCCTGGTTCGGTTGGCAGAGCAACCAAGATATGAACCCAGCATCACAGCAAAGCGTTGCTTAGAGAGATCAGGAAAGCTGTACCACCGGCGTATGTGCAACCGGAGAGAGAGAGAGAGTTATTTCTGTCCCATCAAACACTGTGATCTGCACAGAGGACTTGGTCATTGAAGTACTCACCCACGACGGACTCTCAAGAGAATGTACTTCTATCAAAAGGACTATTTCGGAGCCGTAAATTTTAACCACTATTGTCTCTAGTGACCTCACTAGCCCTCCAGATTCGGAAATATTTTCTGGTTCTAAAATGGTAACTTGACTCATTCAGAAGACATCATGAACATGCCTCCAGCCACTGCGTTGGATACACTGGTCCGCTGTAAGCTTAACACTATTGGAACACCGTCTCTAAAAAAAGTCAGTAAGTTCTTCGGTGAACTGGATCTGTCCGGAAATTCAGCTTAGGCCATGTGCACAACACCATTCGTTTGAACGTCACGACCGACGAACATTAAGCCCGGCACTCGGTGGAGCGACAGATAATGGCTCGATATTGATCGGTTTCGAACAAATACCAATGGTTTGGGGTATGTAGCCAGTCGAAACACTTTAGTCTGAAATTCATCACTTGTTTTAACGCTCTCCCGTTCGGTCTGCACCCCATCAACTTTGATCGATCGCACCACTGTGCTGCAGGAAGAGACACATCCACGACCGCAGCTTGCTGTCAGGACGTTGTGGGAAGCGGACGTCCGATTCTGGCGAGGATTTTACCCTCGTGTTGTGGTCAGTGTTACTGGACCTACAGGAACCAACCGATACGTAATGTGCATCTTTGTCGCCAGCATGTAAGTACTGGGCTACCTGCGATCTTGTTCGAGACAAATCGACACACACCACCGCATATTCAAAAAGGTTGTTCAAAACGGGCGAAAACCATAAGTTTACCAGCCTACAGAGCACAAAAAAGTGCAAAATGCTTCTATTACCATTCACCCATCACGGTACTTTGGAATTGCTGCAGGAAGAGACACATCCACGACCGAAACTTGCTGTCAGGACGTTGTGGGAAGCGGACGTCCGATTCTGGCGAGGATTTTACTCTCGTGTTGTGGTCAGTGTTACTGGACCTACAGGAACCGACCGATACGTAATGTGCATCTTTGTCGCCAGCATGTAAGTACTGGGCTACCTGCGATCTTGTTCGAGACAAATCGACACACACCACCGCATACTCAAAAAGGCTGTTCAAAACGGGCGAAGACCATAAGTTTACCAGCCTACAGAGCACAAAAAAGTGCAAAATGCCTCCATTACCATTCATCCATCACGGTACTTTGGAATTAGTGGTGGATGTGGTAGGTGTTGAAAAATACTGAAAATCTCAGCGGTACCTATTTTCTCACAACAATTCGGATCGCTTATGCTTCAGTGTTTCGGCACAAAGAGCAGTCTGTGTGCTGTTGCCATGGCGACGAAAGCGTAGAATTCAATATGTAGTTTGCGTCAACCGAAGGGTTGCTGGCTGAAGGGGTCCTGATGTACGCCTTCAAGCAACATCCTAAGGCACGATAAGCAACACAAGCAGAAAACTGAAGCCATAGTGCCGGAGTGGTGAGTCACGCTTCGAAAAAAATGCCTTCCCAATACATCACATAAGCCATAACGACCTATTCTGGTCCTGGTTAAACGTCAAATGAACTGCTTGCCCTCAAAGACTTTTTAGTGGTTTTGGGAAGAGATAACCTGTCCACGATAGATGAACTGATCACACTCCATAGGTCGTAACGGCTTGGCCACGTGCTGCCGACCGATTTCCTCGAACGGCTCTTTTCGCACAACCACGTGAAGGGTGGAAACGAGTTCAGACAATGACAATGGCAGCGTAGCACGAAAGCCATTGCCAGCAAACTCAGCTGCGTTGGTCATTGCCGTCTTCCTGGATGGGGACCCCGAGACGGGCGATATCAGTGTTTAGAGACATTGTCAGACATGGCCCAGTCGCGCCTTCAATGACGCTCGTGCATCCAAGCTGTTGCCTTCAGTGCATAGCTCCCCTCCCAATCTCTCCGCTTAAAAGTGCACTGACGACCCTGTATTTAGGCATCATTTGTGTCAGTTCTCGCTCCCAATACATATCCCAGCTCCCCAAATCATCGGTGAATGGAACTGTAGTAGCTACAACCACTGTATGACAAGTACACGGTTCTAACAGCTGATGATGATGATGATGATGATAAGTGGTGATAGTGAATCAAGATGTAGCTGACGAGAAAACCGGTGATGGCACTCTGATGTACATAGGTCGTCATTGGTGTACGAACTGCAAAGCCATTTTCAACTTCGGTTTCTCAGTCGAAATCTTTTTGGCTGTACCAGGCATGCCCAGGTACCTCATCAACGTAAAATCCGTCGTATCAGTAAACACGAAGTGCGTTGCACTTCGCTGTTAAGGTTTTTGGACGAGTTCTGTAAATTACGGTCGGAAATGAAGACTATGTGCGTTTCTTTGTTTTGCAGTCACTGAAAACCAAGTATGTATGTTTCTTCTGAAGAATTCTTGAGGTAACAAATATGGTAGACTTCACAATCAGGCTAGTCTCGACTACATGTGACTGCTTAGTGCGCACGCAGACAACCCTACTCAACTCGGGCCAGTTCATCAACAGAATTTTGCCTGAAACGGACAGTCCAACAATCGTCCCTGGTAGGAAAGTCCGAAGTCGACCAAATTTGACATCTGAATAACACTTGGGTGCTTTTGAAGACAAGCACCTGTCCGCATACTGTAACGTGTCATCCAGCCACTTGGGTTCATGTATGGATTTGTGCTATTCATGGGAAACCCTGTACGCTAGTGCAGACAAATGCATTCGAAAAATTCAAGTGATATCAAGAAAGAAGCCTACAAGCAACACAACAACAACAATCATTCAGCTCTAGCACCCTTTCGGTGCCTAGCTGCTATGCCAAACGAGGGCTGGGATACTATCAGGTTGCCCAAGCCTAGATAGGGGAACTCGAGAGGCAGAGGTCGGGTTCGAACCACGGACCTTCCGGTCAGCAAATTCGCGCTCTAACCACTTGAGCCAACTCGCCTACCTACAAGCCATCACCAAAGAATGCTCCATTGATAGTTGGTCTAAAGTGTCCAGGCTGAATAACGTCTGCCCAGACTCCAGCTCACGCCCTAATTTGATGAACCACCCGAATAGCGTTCATACCCAAAAGTTTTTTTCAACCTATTTATTCACAGAAATTCCGGCTAATCTAAAGTACCACCAGACTTTTACTTAAGCTGCCAAATCTAAACTGAAAATGGTTGTCCATTATAGTGGGATAACCCCAAAGGGTTCCACGGATGTTCTAGCTTGCATCTATCGCACGTTGCTGAAGAATTTAGACGCTGGAACAAAATACCTGCGCGGTTGATGTGTGTAATTGAGCACCACTTCCGATTCAATGGATTGGGAACTCCTGATAGATAAGCTATTAGGAACAGACGCAGAAATCTGACATGGTAGAAGGGAACGTTGGGTGCTCTGTGCCTTCCAGAAAGGGGTCCACGTGCCCCTCCCTGTGTTTGGCACAAGACGCCAAACGATGTCAGTCTGTATCCAGATCGTCCGACTGAGCGTTGCAGATGTAGGCCCGTCGAATGGCTGTGGTAAGCTAGCCGTAGGTCCTCTTGTTCCTTCTTCTTCTTTCCACTAAGACTTATTCAAATAAAACGATGAAGTTGTGTCGCAGTGAAGTTGCTGCTAATGAAGATGATGACATTGAATTAACCCCTCTAACAGGACCACCCTAGACAACTAGGGCATTACGTCCGGGTTAGCAAGGAAATGAGTGTGATGTGCCCCGAAAAACTGCTTTGTCCCAGTTCCTATACATTCCCTGTACAGGATTCCCTCTGAACACACTGGAAAATCTCCCTGAGAATTTGCAGATTGTGTTGCTGTATACGGAAATATTCTAGTGTGGTTATCCAAAAGTTAACACTTGCCCCTACCTGGCCGGTTAGTGACTACTGCTCACCCGCTGTTACCTGCCGGAAATGGACTGTACTGTCATCAGTTGGTCGATAGACTTCTGGTGGGTTCTGGTCCCATCTCACTTGGCGGCCTTGTAGCTTAATTTACTGAAAGCCATGAATGTTGGAAAATTCCTCCCTGGACAAACCAAAGTAATGTTTTTCACTAGTTACACTCAATTACGAATAATTGCTTCTCAAAACGTTAGTTAAGCAGCACCGGTATGCAATGGTGAGCAAACACAGCCGCATACGAGAACTCCGTAGTTCTTTAACTCGCTCACTTGCTGATTCTCATCTGTAGGGAGTGCACTTAAATAACATGGATAGGCCAAAGTGCGTAAAAGCTTTCCCAAACGCGTGAGTCTAAGAAATTAATTAGCTGAGCAATGCTGATCAGGTGATGTCGTAGACATCACTGAATCATGAGGCGGCCTGTGTGCAGCACATTCAGCTGGAGGACATCATAAACGAGAGATTCAATTGAGTCTCCCGTGAAAACCAAATTGATTTGCAAATGAGTGTATTTCTCGAAAACCTGTATATTTGTTTTCTATGTAGCTGACTCTGAGACCGCCACTGTGGGGATGTGTACTTTGGAAGTGAAGTAGTGGCTGACTGGCTGTAAGGAAAGGCAGTTGTTTTCTTTGAAAAACCATTATGGAATTCGAAAGGGTTCACAACGAACGTGGTTCATTTTGGTCCGCACATTATAAACATCATTGATAGGCGCACCGTCTCACTGGTAGCCATGAGACCAGCCGCTTTCCTCGTGGAAAATATTTCAGTTCAATCGACCTGTTGGCATTTGTAATCTTGTCGGAAGAGTGGGTGTCTCCATTAGCTGTACCTGGTGATATTTGAAGTCCTAGTTAATGTTACACTGACGTCGGTCAGCTCCATCTAAATTTCCTTTCAGGTGTAACCCTCCCGACACTTGGATGCCAGTCAACAGGCGTGTGTTTGATCTTAATTGACTTAATTGTGCCTCGTGCACCTTCACTATGGGATGATTTTTTTATCGGGGTATGAATGAGGGACCTATATGTGGTGGGACGTGTCTAGATGCAGTCATTAAAGAAGGAATGATCATTCTGGCTTTTGTTTGTGCTATCGTATTTGACTAAAGACAAGTCTCTGCCTCCTATTGTGTTATTAATCTATGCGGAACCGAATCCAACGTGGACACATTCTGTCCCACCTACTGCACATTGAAATCTGTTTGAATGATCCTGTTAGTTCCTGTTCTCACAGTTTTCCTCGATGTTTGAATTTCTAAGGAAGGAACAGTGCTGTAGAATGCACGTACTGCCCATTTTGTTCACAACTATTTCGTGAACCGAGAGGCGGGCTTCTGTCTGAGTTTTTGAGGATATTTTAAAACCTATTCTCTTACTGCACGTTAATTCATGCGTTCATTCGTCTCCGTCGAACTTCTCGTGAGTACGTTTTAGTGTTCTTTGTAGGCCCCGTTTCATTCCTACACGGGAGTGTAATGTGGTTCTTCCGGAAACTGATTAGGAGCGCTTTATGTTGTACATAGGATTGTAAGTACAAAGCCTCAGGAAGCCCACTGTATACATTCTTCTTTGGCATGTACGATTGGACGGGGCTTGTAGTCCAATGATAGGGTGTGGGCCTTGATTCACTGCACAGTCGACCGAGTAGAGTCAGACATCAAAGCCAACATTATCCCTCTAAACCGATTGTTTCTACCGGAACCGTCCGTACCAGACCTTCTGATTGGATGGGTGTTCGTTCGCACTGTCAGCACCTGACTGTGTGGCATAAACCCGCATTGGAATCAGTCGGGTGATTCATCATGCTCGTGACGTTGTGTCAGGTCATTTTAACCACAGGGATGTTTCATGGGCGCATTGTGCACTTGCTGTCATCCATCATCGATTGTTTGTCTCGGAAGCTGCAGTGGAATGTGTACCAATCAGAACGACGCAATGATTTTTACCACACACCTTCGAGGTCAGGCCACTCGTCGAATATACATATAAACTGTTCAAACGCTGGGACACACACCAGGAGGGGCTGTATGTTCCAGTGGCTTATTTCACGTCTTCACTGAAGACTCGTTGCAGCGTCATGTGGCCATGAAGTGTATTTTTAACACCGCTGCTTGAGCATACGAGGGGTGATGTCATTTGCATCAGTCGATCATTCCAACTCTGATGGTATGCGGCATAAGGAGCAACCAGGAATTCCTATTGGTCTGTGGAGCCAGTTGCGGAAGGTGCCAGTACATTGGATGTGGCTGAACCGAACTGGCGAAAAACAGAGGTTTGCAAGGGTTCATCTGTCACACACTTCCAACATTCCCATGGATAGTCGTGATTGTGAAATTAACAGTATCAAAACGAAGTTAGCGGAACATATAGTTTAGTAGTACCTGTTTTGCGCTGCCTGGACGACAACCCTATGCTTATTTATTTGTTACTTCAGCCCTTAACGGACAATTTCTCTGCCCTTCGCATTTTCAGTAAGTCAGTGGGTAATCGTGGTGCTAAGGTCTACCTGATGTCGGCCTTTGATCATACTGTACCTAGATGATGTTCGGACCCAACCAAAATCAACATTCCACGATAACTCCCTTTGATACAGAATTCCATTCCACGTAACACGCACCCTTCAATACATATAGTCACGTGATAATGCACCAACCAATCATACTTGAGACTTCTATATAACTAAATCGTTTTCATTTGTCGCAGATTGGTAATTTCGAAGTACGGATTGCCAACTATCCCTGCTTTGCAACCCACCTTCATTTGCGGCTGAAAATGCTTTTCTGCTTGTTATCCCACCGCGAACCATCCACTTTTTACCACAATGACCAAACTTGCAGTGACCTAGTGTGCAATCCCTTTCCTTGAAGGGAAGGGAACGGACTACCTCGTGGTAGTCTGTCCCGGACCTTGAGAGTCGCTGCTTAAAGTCAGACAATAGGGGTCGCAGATGCCCCTCCTGTTCACTGCTTCAGTCGTTGATTGTTTTTGGTTCCCCGCACCCTAGTTTGAAATTTGAATTTCAACAAACTCACCTCTGCCACTTTCTTGATGTCATGCCCTTTTTCTTGTTCACCTAAGCCGTGTTCCGGTCGTGGACGGTGCATATGTGGCAAGTGTAAATGCAACTTGGCACGTTACGAGGGTGAGCATTGTGAATGCGATCGGCACGGATGCAAGCGAGCCTCGGACGACAATCAGGTCTGTGGTGGTCCACAGCGTGGTACCTGCCAGTGTGATGGCGTGTGCAAATGTAAACCAGGCTATACCGGGGACCGCTGTGACTGTATGACCAGTGATAAACAATGCATCGATCCGAATAAGCCCGACGTAAGTAGCATGTTGCACTGATTTTGGTCACTGTTTTATTCAGACACTCGCTCCTCTTTCGTCCCGTTGTAGCTGTCCTTAGTTGGTCCCACTGAGTGTCACCAGTTCAGTTCTTTTCGACCTTGGTAGCATTGGCTTCAGGAAGACAAATTATAGCTGGTCCGTCTTACCTTTCACTAACCCAGGAATAGGACCAATAAGATCCTCTAAGACTCAAACAGTTTCTCGAAGTCAACCCACCCTTTTGTTTTGAATGACATCATTTTTCCTAATTTGGCGCCCGAACTTACAGATAGCTGAACAGATGGTGCAGTACCCTACGGTGGCAAAGAGTGTGAAGATGAATAACCGTAATCACGTGTCGGACCGTTCCAAATTGTATCGGACCAGTGGTTTTAGCTAATCACATCAGGATTTGATTTCGTGAAACCTCCTCAGCTGTTGTTTTAATAAACGGCGTTTGCGTGCGATATTTTTTTAGACCTTCGTTTCAACATGATTTTTGAAATCGGAGCTGTGTACGAACAGATCAGAATGGTTTATCCCTGAATCTGAAGGGACGTGTGTATCAAGCTACAGTACGGGCTGTTTTGTTGTATGGCTGTGAGACTTGGCCTATTCGAGCAGCGGAACTGAGACGTCTTCAGGTGTTCGACAATCGTTGTCTCAGAACCATAGCTCGT